TACTCATCAATGAATGAGTAAGGGAACCGACCATACTCATCAATGAATGAGTAAGGGAGCAGACCTTACTCGTCAATGAATGATGTCATTCTACAACAAAATTGACATCTATAATATTGAACAGTTTTCTTGATTCACTCAACAGCGGGGCAGATAAATTATTGTAATATTGTAATAAATAAACATGTACATGTACTCTAAATTAATTATTTCAGAAAATTTAAACCTCTCCATATTTGCTTTAAATGTATAAGAAGCACATCTCAATGAAAGCACATTAACCCAAAAATGGCATTTGTTGTATTCTAAATAATTAAAATACGACTAATTTTGACCATAGAAACACTATTGTAATTTGTGCTACTAATAGAGAAAATATGATATGTATACTTCAAATGTAAAAATTAAAATTTGATTTATTTCAAATATTTATTTTATGGTTAGTGCATGTAATATGTAGTTGCAAAAATTAATGACCTACAATATTTGTAGCTACACTGGCTGTAAAACTGAGTTAGTTTTGAATAAATAGACAAATAAATAAATATTATAAAACTTTGATTTGTAAAGAACCAAAGTAAAATCAAGTTAACTAGACAAAATAAATTACTGTCATGACAACATAACTTGCCAGGTGATAATTGTAGAATTATCTGAAGATTTGAGACAACATTTTCGTTTGAATTTCTGTTGTAATGACTGTAACATAAATGTATGCAAATTAGATATGAAGCTTGACACTTACAAGGCCCTGCATAGTAAACCCTTTCACCAATTTATCAAAGTTGTTTGGTATACATTATTTATACTGATTTTAGACCAAATACAAAAACTTGATAATCAAAACTATGCATGTCACAAGAAATAAGAATGAAAAGGGTTAAGATGTACCATGATTTCTTGAACTTGTTGTGCGGCTCTATCCCTCAAATCCTGCATATTTGGTGGGGCATCAATCACACCTTCTCCTCCATCCTTGGCTGAAATTTTATTACGAGAGAAAAATGTTGTCTCATCATTGGAGTTCATGTAGTTGGAATAGAGTCCAGGAAAAATATACACAGCACAGACTAGTCCCAGAAAGAGAATAATAAAAATAATGCTCCTCTGCAAGCGGGAAAGTTGATTCCACATCTGGAAAAAACAAATTTTAATATAAGACCATGATTTCTTAATACATTACCATGAAAACTCTAAAATTTCTGCCCAAATTTTACAATCACAGAATTGTGCTGTTTTTTAGTTCTCTAAAATTTCATCCACATTTTTTTCTTTAACCCATGGTTAGACTTTAATTAGTAATAAACAAGCCATGCATGGCACAGTCCCTGTTAGTTATCAAACTTAAGATATATAGTTTTGTTTATAGTAATATAGTTGGAACATAAACATGTCAGAGATATGAATCCAAAAACTGCTGCTTGATGATTTTTTAACATTGAAATGATTGACATTCAGTCATCTTGTATCTGATTGTCAAACGAGTACTTGTCTTATATTAGAAGATATTGCTCTGGATCAGCATTAATTAAAACAAAATATTTTGAATATATCTGTATATCTATAACATGATGTACATTGTATAATGAATATAAAAAATTTGAACATAATTAATCAAATCATGTCAGAGATACAGCTCTAGAACGGCATTTATTAAAACAAAATTGACGCCAGTCAGCCATTTTAAATCAGATTTGAAAAACAGAACGACATGCATCAAGGTCCCATAATGTTCACTGTATGTACTGAGTTTGAATAAATCCTTGATTTTGATGATTTGTCAGCACAAAAATGGCCGCCATTTGGCCAACTTGAATCAGATGGTGAAACAATTTTATATGCATATGTATAATATTATGTACAATGTATGTGTGAAGTTTGAATGTAATCAGTCCAAGCATGTCTAATATCATCCCTGTTTGTAATATAGATCCATGATGTGTGCTGATGTATGTGTGAAGTTTAAACCTGATTGGTTCAAGCATGAGATATGGCTCTGTGGAACTGTTGATAACCAGTCAGTTATTTTAGATTTGACAAAGACAAAAATGTGTGTACAAATGTATGTCTGATCTGATGTGTGCTGATGTATGTGTGAAGTTTCAACTTGATCCGTCAGGGCATATCAGATACAGAGATTCAAAACTGCAGTCTTTATAACAAAATGGCCCTCAGTCGGCTATTTTGAACCCCATTCAAAAAATAAATTCATGTACATCAAGGTCCCTTAACGTTAAACACACATGCATATACCAAGTTTGAACAGAATCCATGCACGACTGCGATTCGGTTTCGGAAAGGTGAAAATGTGTGATTTTCAAAGGCATGTGTATATATAGTATCCGATATAATGTCTGTGTGTAGTTAGATAGGCGTACACACAAAATATCTTTTCTGAGGTACAAGCTATAAATATGTGTAAACTCCAAATTTGTTTCATCGTGAAAGCATGTTTCAAAACACTTGATCAATTCCATATAAATGCTGAAACCTGCCAAGTTTTTTTAGACCACAAGTTGACCCATCAAAAAAATAAATTTTGTTATTATCAATGTTGAAGTCTGACCAGTTGGCACTTTTACTACTAGTGCCAGTACTGAGACAGTTTTAACAGATTTCACGATGATAACAAATTAAATTTATTTTACCTACTTACATTTTTTCTCAAAAACAAGGTCAGCAACTCCATTTTTTATATTGCCAAGAGGTTATAAAATAATAATCGCCCAGTGTATCGAACATGACAAAATTCTCACATCAATCCAGTACAACTTAGTTACAGAGAACACGGAGCTCCATGCTGTGAGTAGTGTACCTAACCTACCCATTTCAGATGTAGTTTTGAGGGTGTTTAGAAAAAAGTCACAGAAAGTAAGGTGTACTGCAACAACACACAAATGGTCGCTTACAGTCAATATTGTGTCAAAAACGTTCAATACTTGGAAACAACATGTCCTATAAGTATAAATATTAGATCGTTGATCCATGCCAAGTGTACATACCCGCCGACATGACTGGCTTCTTTTCCCTTTTCCATTGTTATATTCTCCATCACTCGCCACAGTAAAAGAAATAAAGCCCTGTTTCTGATAAGGAGAGTTATACATGATTACAGTCTTCGACAGAAACCAGTTCATAAACAGAGTTCACTATCACGATATACATTTTCATATCTTATACCACTCATGTACTTCCGCCATGACACCTGTACACCTAACAACATACAAACCGGAAGTTGTATTGTTACGCCGACCAAACAACCATAGTCCACAAACTACAAGATGATACTGTTTTTTCATACACACATTTTATATAAAAATAATTTTAGACCGCTTTATTTCCTGCAATTTTCTCACGATGCATATGCGAAAACAATGTATTGTTGAGTCTTTACTTCGCGGAAGAATACATCATTAGACACTCTAAGTCAGCAAAATAAATTAACTTGTTACACTATTCACAGTAAGTTAGGTAGTTAAAAAGTCATCGCTTGAAGAATAACAGGCCTCATATTCAGCTTCAGATTCAGAACCCAGCATCTTATTGTCGTATTATTAATTCTCAGCATCATATTTTGTTTACCACTTGTGAGTTTCACGGTTACCACAGCTTATAAATAATAAATTAAATCAAATCAAATAATTTATTAAATAATAACAGAGGTATATTACTTAAGTAATGCACCTCTGATATAATTAATTAAAATAAATACTTGTTATATACATATCTGAAAAAAATGCAGAAAAGGAAAATAGACAAGCTTAAATTAAGATGTTATATTAATCAGCCTGGGCTATGTGCCTTTTTACGGAATATTGAATGACATGGAGGCTGTGCCCTGGACTTGGATCTGAATTTGAGGCTGAATGTTGAATCTAAGATTCAATCTGAATCTGGGGCCACCTTCAAGCTCGTGGAGTAAAATTCATTATCATATACAGTAACGAGATGCTGTAACCCCAGCTTTATTCAGGACGAAGTAATTCCTTTCTGTTTGTGTTGTGTTTTGTGGGTAAAACAAAATAGTGCAACATTTCTTGTTTTGAGAAGAAAACAAACCAGGAAGAAACTTTCGCGACTATAAATTCCATCCATAGTAATGTGCAACTAGAATAGATTGGTTGAGCAAGTCGGACATGTCTGAGAAGTCACAGGGTTGGGTGAGTCGGTTTATATTTGAATAATCTATTTTTTAATCAATTTTTGGAATAGTCGTCGTTTCACCGCTTCAGCGTTGGGCGAACAATAAAATAACAACCGTACGAACTAATCATGCAACCACCTTGAACGCATGTCAGCAGTCACAGTAATTTATAGCACGGAGGACAGTCCTGTGAGGGGTTGGCCTTCTTCCGCTGATCATTCGGTTCCAATGGTCAATTGCTTTGATATTTTCATGAATATTTTTGTCATTTTTGGTAAAAACTGATATTTTCGACTTCTTGTTAAAAAAAGTCTGATTGCTTTAATACTATACATATTGTTCATTTTCTGATGATATCTTCAGTTCTTTAATTGAAATGTGCATTGATGACAGCGGAGCTATCTTCATAATGATTGTAAATGACCAACATGTACCATCTGTTGTCAAGTTATGTAAAGTAGTTTCATATACTGTAGAATACTTTATTTTCACTTGGAATTCACTTTCGCTATTTTCGCTGAAGGGGTGATTCCGTGAAAATAAAATCCAG